TACATAAGCATAGCCTTTCTAGATGTATTACCTGTCAGATATCCTCTTGTCCTTCGTCCACTGGAACTGCAGAGCCGTACCAACAGTAGTCCTGACAGTGGGCAAATAAGACACAGTGTGCGAGGTGTAATGCAAGAAGCAGATGAAGTATTTATTGGTTGCAGCCAGCAGCAGGATTAATAGCTGTCATAGCATCAGTGCATGTTGTTATAATACTAAATTCCCACACCTAGCATCTGTCCAGGTGTGCAAGTTCAATTCTTTCATCAAGCTCAGGAAGTCACACTGACATCAATGCAAACTTGTTCAGAACCATTAACACCTTCAGCACTGTAGGCGCGTGAGCGTATTTGAATATTGGATGTAACTGCCAGTTCCCCACTACTTTCAAATAACCCCAGACTTGCATTATCCTAGATGGACATGAAGTCATAGCAAACTTTATTTATTTGTTAGGAACGCCATCGTAAGACTAAGGTTTCTTTTGCTCCAACAAAAGTGCAACAGAGTCTAGATAAGGTTACATTTTGACTGAAACACATCTCTGCACAGGAAATGCTGCAGATGTCCAGTTGTACCACGTTATAAAGGTGCTGTTATGTATTTCAATCTGGTAGCCAGCAGGAAGTCACAACTGTTCGTTTCTAAAGCAGTTTGAGATTTGGGATTTTGACTGTGAGATGATGCAGTATCAGTCTATTTATAGAGAGAGGTTATTTGAACTGTTGTGACCTCATCAACACGCTGCCTGTGTTTTCCTTCTCTGAATAAAGTCCATGCTGTCCAGGAGAACTGTTGTTTTTGTCAGAGATCATACCTTTGCCATATAGCTAACTGTATTTGCATGTTTGTATGTGTTACACTGCTGCTGCAGAAATCACAGGAGAATCGCACACACCGTCGCTCCTAATAACCTTCTCTGTGAACACGTCTTATTTTGTCGAGCTGCCACTTGTTTGTTATCACTTGTAACATTTTTCTTGCTTATAGTAATCTAAGTAATCTCTGCAGACTTTGCTTGAGTGCACCGAACTCTTACTGCATTCATGTTATTATTATTGTATCTTTTTGTATTTTTCATTGTAACTGTGTATGCTGCATCTGCACTCAAAATGTTTCCTTCTCTCGTTTTGTTTTTGCTTTATGCATTGAAGCAGTTCCATTAATAATTTACTATCATAAAATCATGTGTGTGTGTGTGTGTGTGTGTGTGTGTGTGTGTGTGTGTGTGTGTGTGTGCGTGTGCGTGTGTGTGTGTGTGCGTGTGTGTGTGTGTTTCTCTACTCACAGGAATTGCAGTTGATAAAAACGGACTGATCTACTTTGTGGATGGAACTATGATTAGGAAAGTGGATCGTAACGGGATCATCTCCACAGTGTTGGGCAGCAATGATCTGACCTCTGCACGACCTTTGACCTGTGACACCAGCATGCACATAAGACAGGTAACCTTTAACTATTAAAACCTCTTTGCTTATCAGAAAATATCAGACTATGTGAAAATATCACATGATGTGGTGTGTGTGTGTGTGTGTGTGTGTGTGTGTGTGTGTGTGTGTGTAACAATGAACAGGAAGTGAAGTGTCACCTTTCTTCTCTGTCCTCTTTCCTTCCAGGTGCGGTTAGAGTGGCCCACAGATCTAGCCATCAATCCCATGGATAACTCTATCTATGTGCTGGACAACAATGTTGTGCTGCAGATCACTGAAAATAGACAGGTATCATGTATCCCTTTGCTGAATGTATATTTTATCCATCCATCCATTTTCTTCCACTTATCCAGGACCAGGTTGCAGGGGCAGCAGCCTAAGCAGAGGCCCACCTCCCTCTCCCCAGCCACCTCCTCCAGCATATCAGGAGGTACACTGAGGCATTCCCAGGCTGAGAGATATAATCTCTCTCTGGTGTCCTGGGTATACCCTGTGGGCCTCCTCCTCATGGGACATGCCACCCAGGAGGTGCCCAGGAAGCATCCTTATCAGATTCCCAAACTGGCTCCTTTAGATATGGAGGAGTATTGGCTCCAATCGAAACCCTCTGGAATGACTGACACCCTGAGCCTATGTCAGAGAGGACACCCACCCATTCTGACGTAACCAAAGTAGAAGCCTTCTGCCTGCTTGACAGACATTTTATCCATGTAAGCTATAAAACAGAACCAGTGACAAAGGGAGTGGAGTCCAACACTCACTGGAAACAAGTCCAACTTATTAATGACAAGTGTGTTTGTACGGGGACCAAATGGCCTGTAACAATGGGCGTGTAATAATAACAATTATTACACATGTAATGATTACTTGTGTAATAGTTACTTTTTCGATTAACAACCTCAACATTGATCACAGCAAAGGGTGGAAATACCTCCAACATGCACAAACATCTGACAACACAATTAATTTGTATGAAAGTACTGAATGTGTCCAGGACCGCATACCTGATGATATCATTACAAAACTCATCATCATCCTAGTGTTTTGTGCACTGATGGACATCCTCATATTCAAAAATGGTGACTGTTGTCCAATAACAGAAAACCACGCAGGTTCAGATCAGGCCGTTCATGCTCATTTCCTCTTTCCAGGTCTCACTTTCTTTGAATTGAAATCTCCCATTAGGATGTTGGAGTCACTAGATGGAGCATCCTTGAGCGGCCCACTCAGTGACTCCTAAAAGGCTGGGTGCTTTGAACAGTTTTTGGTGCATAAGGGCAGATGTCAGGACCTGTTCCCCCACCTGAAGGCGCAGGGAAGCAACCCTCACCTCCACTGGCAAAACCCCCAACATACTGGTGGTAACCTGACAACTCTAGACTAGAACAGAGTCGAGCCCACCTCCAGGAAACTGGTTCCAGAGCCTAAGCCGTGCATTCAGGTGAACCTGGCTATATGTAGCCAGCAATGCTCAATCTCACCTACTCGCTCCTTTCCTCCAGAGAGTTGATGTTCCCTGTCCTAATAGCTAACCTCTGTAGCCAGGGATCAGACTGCCAGGGCCTCCATCCCTGACTGCCTCCTCACACACATTGCACCCGAGCCCTATGTCCCTACAGTCTTCTCTTTGGGCTGCGCCGAGCCCCATGGGCTGAAGCCTGACCACCAGATCCTCTCCTGTGTGCTCCCCCTCCCTAGGCCCAACTCCAAGGTGGGCCCATGGTAAAACTATCCCAGGAGGGGCGCACTGGTCCCATACTTTTTCCCTAGGAGTTGACTTAATATATATATTTAATATCTAAGTATTTAATGACATTTGTATTTCACAGCCTTCCTGTGCCACAACAACAAATGCACAGTGCTACTTAATGATTCTTAACTAACATTCATGTGCAAATGTGTGTGTTCAGGTTCGTATTGTGGCAGGTCGTCCCATGCACTGCCAGGTGCCTGGTATAGAGTACACCATGGGAAAGAGGGCGGTTCAGACCATGCTAGAGGGTGCTACAGCCATCGCCTTATCCTACAGTGGCGTTCTCTACATCGCAGAGACGGATGAGAAGAAAATCCACCGTATTCGACAGGTAGTCTGCTGGACAGAATTTCCTTGTAATCATGAATGTTAAGCAGAATCCTGGAAATCTAAGGTGGGATAAATTCAAGCTTTTTAATAAAGTAATACTATCCAAATATGCTAAAAGAGCAGCCAATGTTACCTTATTTAACTCTGTATAACAACGTGAGAATTCAAATTCACAGATATCACCCTCTTATTTCTAGCAGGTTATCATATTGTTACTAAGGTATTACGACACTCTTACTAATGTTTTTTTCCTCGTGGGGATGTCTTTATTTCTACATTATTATCTCCAGGTTTTGGTCCCTTATTATCCAACTGCATAAAGCTCAGTGTAATATTACTTTACCGTATCCACTGTTGTTACCATGATATTAACTGGTTTAGTAGTAATAACCACTAAATTACCACATTATTACGTTCTTGTTTCTGCCTCGTTGCCCTTCTGTTACTACTTTATTACCAAGCTGTAACAGAAAGTGCCACTGTGCTAAACTTTAAGAATCATTTCCTTCTCTACTAAAACTCCAGGTGTCGACTGATGGAGAAATTACCCATCTAGCTGGAGCGCTATCTGACTGTGACTGCAAGGTACCCATCACAGCTACTTCACTGTTGTTTTCAGTCCTTATCGGTCATTCTGCTCAGCTCACTGAAGTACTCGAATTCAGAATGAATGTGTCGCATCCAAATAGTGATGTGTGAATGCAACAGGATGTGAGGAAGAGAAGCGGCTGGACTCCTTGTTTCACCTCTCATCAGAGAGGCGTCTTCATTTCTACAAATCAAATAATGAAGAGTCATAGGTATTTAAACCGTAGTTGTCATCACATAAGTCAGGGTGTGAATAATGGCATGGGAAATTATCACCAGAGGTTTTGTGTGAAAACACAAATTTTCCCATAATAAATGACCCAGTGTGTGTGGTTCACAAGGTCCACAACATATTAAATCTCATTCTTATTCAGGCTTGGAAATTCCTCCCAGTTTTCTGTAATTACGTCCAAAAGCCCCTGTGGCTTCCTGCCAAACAGCAGTTCAAAGGGAGAAAATTCCATGGAGGTCGGGGGCAGCTCCTCCACTGCAAACAAAAGACTTTGACAGCAAGCCCTACTGCATTAATCCTCATGAATAAACATGGCAGTAATGGACTTTAAGGCACTCCACCAGCCCATCGCTCTGGGGGTGGTACAGCTCTTTTGTGTGTGAGACATGAATGAGACCCTGTGGTCGTCAGTACCTCTTTTGGGATTCCGACTCAGGAGATCACCTGAAACTGCACCCGTGCCAGCAGCTCTGCTTCGAGATATCACATCATCCACGAGAACTTATACAAAGCAATGTCCCCTGGCACTCCGGGGATCTTGTCCCGATGAAGTCCATACCACTGCACTTGAACGGGACCTCCATTAATGGTAATGGATGCAAAGCCACCCATTGGATGGCCGAGTGATTTACCAGTTGACATTCCAGGCAGGATGCACACCAGGACACATCTGGTGACGAGCACAGCCCATTGCTGTTTATTGAACCCAGGCCTTTCCCTCCTTTGAATTAAAGGGTGCTCTTCTAGGACCTCACCACAGCTCTATGCTTTTTCCCCTTTTGTTTAATTTCCACCACATATTTTACATATAATGGGTTTTTTAAAAAGTCAAAAACTTCGATTTTTATTTGCTTTTTCTTGCACCGAGATGCCAGTTTTTTTCTCCAGTATCTCTTCCCTGCAAAACGCAGGCACAAACCTGCATGGCACTTCACGATGCCTCCTCTCAGCTAACCTTTGTAGCATCAGTCTGCCAAATGCAGCACCAACCATTGCTGGTGCCAGGGTGCTAGCGTGATTTGCTTCTACTCCACCTTGCTGATCATGCTTACGTTAAGTTCTCGCCAATCAATTTTGCCAGCATATCCAGTTCACGCAATCTAATCTGTGACCACCTAATCAAGGTTTACAGGCCCCCTCTCTTCACAAGCCTTCTCAAAAAAGGTATGCCTTCTTTGGTGACCTGCCAGTGACCTGAGATGCTGCCAGTCCCCTCTGGAGACAATTCATGCTCAAGCCATCTGCCATTATCTACTAGATCATATCTATTATGCTGTCAAACCTACATGAGGATGTGGTCCCAACTAGTGAAAGAAGAATAGCTTGCTATTTCTGGACTATGCTCTGCACATGGAGGAGCTCAGCACTGAAGTTTACTGGAAGCCCACACAGACCAGTACCTACTCTTTGACTCCCAACACCCTCTCGAACACAGAGTTGTCAGGACACTGCAATGAGAAGAAACTGTTTCCTGTAAGCCAGAAGGGGAAGGAACAAACACATCTAAAGAAAGCTCCTAAAACAAGTGGTTATCCCAAATGAGCCCTCATTGAATCAGCAAAGATGCACAGGAAAGAGGAAACTAGAACATTGTCATTCCAGTCACCCAACCATGCCATTAGAGAAGAAACTGGTTTATCCCAAGGACAAAACTTCCAAACTCAAACTAAGCAACATAGTGTACGCTGTGCAGTGCAGCAAGGAGTGCTTGGACCTTTACACTGGAGAGACCAAGCAGCTGCTCCATAGAACTGCACAACATAGAAGAGCAAGCGCGGCAGGACAAGACACAGCTGCACACCATCTGCTAAAGGACTCATTTGATGATACCACAGTTCACATTTTGGACTGAGAGAACAGATGGTTTTAAAAGGAGTGCCATTTATGTTCACGTTGAAAGCCCGTTCTTGAACAGAGGGGTGGCTTACGACAGCAACTTCCACCTACAACGCAGTTTTGAGATTCCTTCGCAGGTCCCTCAACCTCCGCACATCTTACAGCAGGTGACCCAAAGAGGTCACATGATAGGGTGAAGCAAGATCTCACAGTGTTCTCACCCAAAGACCTGGTGATTATGACCCACACCTTTTTTTTATCACACCTTGGCTGATGTGATGAGGCACATGATGGTTGGTCAATGAGAGGCTCAATGACCAAGAGATATCCCCCACTAGGGTTTAAATACCTGGGACGCTCCATCGTTTGATTTGTAGAACTGAAGAAGCCTCTCGGATGGGATGTGAAACGTCTTCATAAAACTCCAGTGGCTTGCTTTCCGAGCTCCTTAGACTACAGTAATGTGGATGACTGGGAACCTGAGACACACATATATGAGACGAGAATTTCTTGTGTTGATGTTGTTCGTTGTCTCTCGTTTGGCTGTCCTGTAGAATGATGCAAACTGCGACTGCTATCAAACGGGAGATGGCTATTCCAAAGATGCCAGGCTTAATTGTCCTTCCTCTCTGGTTGTGTCTCCGGATGGGACGCTGTATGTGGCTGATCTGGGAAACATCCGCATTCGAGCCGTGCGACGCAACCAACCACCTACGGGTGTGTATATAAAGTGTATGCACATACACAGTAGACGTGCAATAGAGGGCTTGTATGTCATGTATGTTAATAGGCAGACAGCTGTCTCACGGATGTGTAGTGACGGTGATCAGCAGAATAATCAAATAGATTTGCAAAGAGAGAATACCTGCGTAAGTTATTCAGTTATGCAGGTATTCATGTAATGGCAAATGACATAGACTGTGCAATATTGTGTGAGTTTAGAAACAAAAATATTAAACAATAATAGATAACAAAAGTAACATAGGAACATAATCTAAGAAGATAAAGAAAACAAAGTCACTGGTCGGTCTGTCTGCTGGTCTGTGTATTCAGGCTCTCTGGCTTCAGGTCCCAGTTCCTATGAAGTGGCCTGTCCAGCCTCTCAAGAGCTCTACGTGTTTGATGCAAATGGGACTCACCAGTTCACCATGTCTCTGGTCACTGGAGACTACAAATACAACTTCAGCTACAGGTTGGTGTTTGTCAGGAAACACATTTTTGTGACTTTTCCATTAGCACCTACTCGCCACTAATAACCATGACTCCGCTCGAGTCGACTGGTTTTCCATTACAACCCAGTACTACCTTGTTTGCGTGCTTGTCGTCATAGCAACGCTAATGTGCATCCCATAATGTAATTAATATGCAACATGAACAACAACAAAGGCTTGTGGGTTGTTCTCACTTGGGGGAACACGGCGTTGTTTTTTGTAGCCAAGTTTCAAAAATGGCTGTTTGGATTTTTGTAAATGAGACGCTCTCATTGCTCATTGCTGACCAACCAATCAGTTGCATGCAGTGTGACGACATCACATTTTAGTACCTGCTCAGAACTCTTGGAACCCAGGCCGGGGAGAGGAAAGTTTCCTTGGCCATCTGTGCCCCTGCCTATGGACCGCCTTGAACCGGCTGGAGAGCCAGATACCCCCTGGTGATCCCGGCATTGGCTCCCCTGCAGCTCCGCCCAGACCACACACGGCACCATAATACATTTGCATTACCTTGCAAAATTGTTCGACACAACAGTGTTGTTTACTGTTTTTGTCTTCTTTTGTGGCACCTTACACGAGTAACTCATTTCTCCACACACTCAGCAATGAGGAGGATGTGACTGCGGTGACGGACAGCAGTGGAAACACGCTCCGCGTGCGCAGAGACACTAACAGGATGCCTGTACGTGTGGTTGCTCCCGACAATCAGGTGGGTACTGAGGAGCCTTGTTAGCAGATTACGAGCGTGTATCCTTGATCACCTGTGATTCTGTGTGTGTGTTTAGGTCATTTGGCTGACCATTGGGACTAATGGAGGTCTGAAGACTCTCACAGCTCAGGGCCAGGAACTGGTCTTGTTTACTTACCATGGGAACAGTGGCTTGTTGGCTACCAAGAGTATCCAAATTGGCTGGACTACCTTCTATGAGTGAGCCACTTTTTGGATTTCTAGTTGAATTCTGGTCAATGGACAGATTAAATTTCTCTGCTTTTTGCTGGGTTGTCAGTGAGTGAGTCTGAGTTTTTATCCGTGGATCCTAATGTCTGTTTCTTACTGTATCCTCACCATCCTTGTAGCTATGACAGTGAGGGTCGTTTGACTAATGTGACCTTCCCCACTGGGGTGGTAACCAGTCTCCATGGCGACATGTCGTCAGGGGCTGTTGCTGTGGACATTGAGACGTCAGGGAGGGATGAGGACGTTGCCATAACAACCAACCTATCATCAATAGACTCCTTCTACACTCTGGTGCAAGGTAAGAAGCTAATGCAACCTGAGAAGGGAAGAAAGTTTCCTATTTTACAGGTGGCCTCGTGTGTGTGAAGCATGCTAAAAGCTTTAGTTCGAGCTGAAGTAAGAATATGGTCTTTATTTATTATTAAATCAGTGCATGGTTCATAGTAAATTCAATTAGTTGCTAACAGTTCGATTTCTCATCGCTTCACACATTGTGCAGTTTCCACACTTTCCCTGATCGATCAGTATCAGGAATCCGTGACTAGCCTGGATCCTTGGCCACAACCACATGCACACAATACAGCGTAGTGTCCATGTGGTTGCGTCAATTTCACACCTAAACATGTTAATACAATGATTTTTAAAATGCAAATGTACATACCCCCATCTGACATCCTGTCAAAGCGGTGCTCGTCATCACATTTGTTCTGTTTGGGATGTGTGCAGTTATATCAGCAGCTTGTGTTAGTTGTGTAAAGTTTATTTTAAGAAAAGATCTGACATGAGGAAGTGTACAAGCTGCGGATGGATCTGTAATCCCATCTGCTCTAATAATCCTAGATTTAGGAACTGCAAAAGGATCCTTGTCGTCCTTCGTGTCAAACTTTCATCCCTAAACGCTGAGGGGGGGAAAAGTAATTTGGTGTTGTTCAATCTGAACTAATGAGCCATTTGAAGTGAGGCTGGCAATGATTTACTTCAGACTGAGCTGTGCATGGCCACGCACAAGTATTGATCGCAACATGAGTTATTCAGAGCAATTGACAAGTGTAGCATTTCACTCCATCACTTCATTCATTTTCTAGCCTGTGAGCTAGAGAAATGAAAACACGCTAGATGGGGCTGCACGGCCGACATGGTAAACAACATGAGACAGGAGACTGGATTAAGAGTACTGTTTCAGAGATGGTCTGTGAGGACTGTGTGTTCTTCCTCTCTCTCTTGTATGCACACATAACGGCCTTTAGTCCTGTGAAAGGTCAAGGAGGATGTAATTAAAAGAGGCTGGGAGATGTTAATACATGCTCTTTGCTCCATTAGCAGGCTCAAACGCTGCCCTCTCGGGTGAATTGCGTGGTTTCTCCCCTTACTTTGTCTCCCTCTTTGTCTTGGCCTTTATGCTTCGCTGTCTTTGTTTTTGTCTCTTTCTCCTTCACCCTTAGGTCAGCTAAGAATACTGCCTATATGAATTAATGCCTTGGAAAGTATCCAATAAAGAAATGGTTCATTTCTAATGTGATTTCCTTTTAAACAGACCAGCTTCGTAACAGCTACCAGGTGGGGAACGACCACTCACTGAGGGTGATCTATGCGAACGGGATGGACACGCACTACCAGACAGAGCCTCATATTCTGGCAGGTGTGTTTTAAGCATAGTGCCTTCACTTTATAATCTACGAGAGGATCTAAGCTGTCTTTATTTTCACTTATATGTATATGTAGTGTGTGGAAAGCACTGGTTTGGGACCATCTACACATGCTGAGATTTCTGCTCCCTGCGTCTCTGTCCTGTTGCTCCTGTTGATTCTGATCTCTCTGCAGCTAAACACCTGCAGAAAGAGCTGTCAGAATTATTAGAGTTAAACAAAACTCAAACGTGACGTAAAAAACATTTTAAACGATTGAAACAATTTTGTGAACTTGGAAAACTTAACTAAATTCTATTAAATATAAAGGAAGTTTTAGAAATGTTATCAGCACTTCACTGTCAGCCTGCTGAGGCTTTGACGTGTTAACAAGACTGTAAGTTCCTGTGATGGTTTTCATAAGTCTTGCCACTGATGTATGCTCTGCATGCAATAATATTTAAAGAGACTGAAACGAAACATTTCCAACAATAAAAACGAATCAGTAAATATTAAACTGCTGGACGGGTGCAGTGTTTGTGTCACGTGTTGGGATTTGATTTGCACTGAGAGCATGTTTTAATCCAACCAGGAGTTTCAGATAAAAACTGAAGGAGAATTGTTTTGTAATGATTCCCTAAATATGTGTAAGCTTGACAAAACACGCTGTAACGTTTTGGAAATAAGAGGAAACACTGGGAGGTGATCAGTCTCATGTAAACATCTCAAGTTATTTCAGTATTGTTACATTTTAGTCTCAGAATATAAAATAATTTATTGTCATTTTAGTTATTTTGTTATCTTCTAGAACCCAGTTCTAGAAAAATGATCCTGTGTAAAATGAAAACAAAATGCAACCATATTTTTGTCTCTACAGGACATAGAAAACCAGTGAGGAAAAACATTTTAAAAAATTATGTTATAAACAAACAAACAAAAGCCTCCACAACGATTGGACAGGGCCACGTTTACCGCGGCGTAGCATCCCGTCTTCTTTTGACATTAGTCCATGAACATGTGGAAACTGAGCGTTTCAGTTGTCCTGCGTCTTTGTTGTACGTTTTATTTCATGTGCCCGTTGTTAAAGGTCTGGACTGAACTCTTCTACTATAACGACATTATCTAGCTGCAAGGCCTTCCCTCAAAAAGATGTCGTCTATATGTTGTTTTAAATGTAGAAGAAATTGAGATTCTTGTACACTAAACCATCAGGGCTTCACATGTTGTCGTACCTGTGTAGGTGCTGCTAACCCAACTGTTGCGCGACGTAACATGACTCTGCCGGGAGAGAACGGCCAAAACCTGGTGGAGTGGAGGTTCAGGAAGGAGCAGACGAGAGGAAAAGTCATCGTCTTTGGAAGAAAACTCAGAGTGAGTGCTCTTTAGCTCAAACTTTAGATAAGCACAGACCAATAAGTTTGTTGTCCATTTAAATCAAACTCGGGTTGGTGCGCTTGGTTTGTGCAGGTGTGAACACAACAATCGCACTGGGCTACGGACCAAAGCAACCGCAGTGGTCCTGGTGTGGGTCTAAATGAACTCCAGTGTGTTAAAAAGAGATAAACGTAATAAGTATAAGAATGCGAGGTGCATATCCATATCCTCCAATGTTTTTTGCCAAACCATCATTTATCATATATCAGCATCCAGCATCAGCCGTAGACGCCTACAGAAGGGGTCTGTAGTGTGATAGCTCATGCACAAGTGTCTTAAAGAAAGGTGAGAGAACAAACAAGTCTATCACAGAGACTGAAATCAAAGCTCACATGGTGCTGAGTTGTGAGACGGCAATCACTGTATCCATCATGTAGGTTACAGAGTTTCACTGTCTGCATATTATAGGTGCGTGCTTTTGTTCTTCCTGCTAGGAAAGGAAGCAGCGCTTTGAAAATGACGCGGCGCACTCTCTCCCAGCCTAACGGGACACAATCCTTTTAGTCACGTGGCTCCAGTGAAGTTGAAACACACAGCTGAGCTGCTCTCAACATGGCCCACTAAGCAAGAATGGAAGTGTCACCACAGGTGACCCATGACTCATAATAGGGAGTGCTCTGCTATGAACGAGCAGTAATGAGTAGTAGATGTGTTTTTATTAATGAGTGTTCAGAGGTGAATTTAAAGAAAGTCTGTGCACATGTGAGCGTCATTTGAAGTATAATTTGTCATTAATAACTGAATGACAGTCCAGCTGTCTTCCAACTTAATGATGACAGTGGAATCGCAGTCCTTTGAAGAGGAGCAAAGTTGAATCCAGTCTTTCTGCTAAATAATGATCTTACATGTCAGTGAATTAGAAAGCTGCATGTTTAAGCTGCGTGCTGGGTAGAGCAACGACAAAGCCTGCTGTCAGACAAGAAACAGCAACTTTACTGAGATGACAAGAACAGGACAGCTACTTTACTTTTTAATGTGCGTTTGTTTAGCTGTGTGGTGATTGGGTAGCTCGGCTCAGCGTGAGGCAGCCAGTCTCTGAAGCGCTGAAGAACTTTGTCTGGATTTGTTTTATTTCTAAATAAAGCAATAAAGACTTGGTTCCTGGTGCAGATCTTAGTTCACTGACTCAGCCGCAGATTTTTAAGTAACTCAGTTGTTATTTCATGAATCATGCTTCAAACCTCAGGCTAACACTTATTAGAATATTTATTGCTAAGTCTTTGATCAGAGGGGTGACTAAGTATTTATCCTGAAACATCTCAGAAATAAGAGACAGTCCAGCCTGTCTCTTATTTCTGAGACGTTTACAATATGTGTGGTACTCCCTAAGAACAAAGCATATACACTATATTGCACTATTATCGTCTGGGTTAACACACACTGAACAGACAAGAAGACTTAGTTTAGTCTCTGCTCTAATTCACCCAAAAGAGGTCAGGACTCTGTGCAGGCCAGTCAGATTCTTCCACTCATGCCTGAACCTGTTGCACTGGTGTTCTCCTATCACAGTACAGTTCACTCAACTCCTTTAGAGTTCCCCATTCATTCAGAAGCAGTGTGCACGCCTATGTGCTTGATTTTATACATCTGTGGGACATCTGGATTCCATTATTTGGATGGGTGAGTGAATAGTACGTGCACAGTGATTTGTCTGGAAACATTTTAGGAAATCTACACTTTCCAAAATATTCATCTGGACGTAGCGTTGTGTGGGAGTTTCAGTCAGCTGAGACTGGAGAAGACGAAACGTTTCTCCCACTGAAAACGTCCAGATAACAGAATCAACTTTTGGAGATGTTCTTACCTGGATGATTGAGAACGCATCAAGACTTTCCAAAATACTTTGCATTTATGAAGAATTCAGCACACTGGCTTCATATTCACTGTCAGTGATATGTGCATTTTGTGTAACTTTTGATATTTTGTGTATCTTAATGCATGTTTTATAAATGTGTCTCCGCCTCTTCAGGTGAATGGGAGGAATTTGCTGTCTGTGGATTATGATCGTACACTGCGAACTGAGAAAATCTATGATGACCACAGGAAGTTCCTGCTGAAGATCATCTATGATACCCAAGGCCATCCAACACTCTGGGTTCCCAGCAGCAAGCTGCTGTCGGTTAACCTAACGTACTCCAGGTGATTCCTTTTGTCTCATTCTGCTCGATGGTGCAAAACACTGTAGTACACAAAGATTCTGGTTTCAGATCTTTGCAGATTCCTGTTGTTTGCATGTTCTCACAGTGGCTGCATGTATTCTCTCATATGCTGATGCCTAAATATGCCTAAAAATGTAAAACAGTGTGTGAATATGGTGGAAAGTACTAATGGCTGTTTCGTGCTCGAGCTCTAGCCTGCATCAGTCTCAGCATCTCAGCTGTCTCTCCCTTGCTGTCTCTGTCACACACAGTGTAAAATTACTCTTGCTGTGCACAACTGTGCTCATTATTGTAACCAACTCTGTGAGTTAGATGGAAACATTTGTGGAAGCGTCGCATCTTCTTACACGGTTATAGATTTAATTGCTTAATACAGTGTTCTTCAAAGAGGCTGCTCTCACTGAACACTTCGTGCAGATCTATGATTGGGCACAGTTAGCGATCACACTAAATGCATAGTGAAAGACCAGGCTGTGGTAATATGGATCACCTCGTGAGGGAACAACTACAGTGCTTTGAGTTTTCAGAAAGAGTGAAAAACATGAGAAGCGGCATTGGAACTTGATTTATTCCAAGAAACTAGGATGATGTGAATAATAAGACCAAAAGATACATGCGAGCTATGGCTGTTTGATATAACGATACATGTTTAGTCATAAGTTGTAACGGCGCCGTTTTCTTTGTATTTATTACACGGCGTGCTGCGAGGAAAAGCCTAGGGCTGTCCGATATAACGATATATGTCGGATGACGATATAAAAAGGTCTGTCGTTTCATTTTACGCTGTCGTTTGTTTCGTGGTGTCGCAAAATAAACTGTTTACAGCAATATTTTTTCATGGTTCTGATGTCACTGTAGTTGTTATTAATTTCTTAAGGTTCTCTCTTTCTCTTATATTTAATATAACCACACTACGGACGGACAAGCGCCTGTTTTTATGCGTTGTCGTTAGCAACAACGACGGTAACACCATCGCTTGTCTGCTTGTTTATTTTCCACATAAACCTTTCACAATAAAGCTCAAGATCCTGTTGAGACTTTTCAAAATAAACTGAATCACGTGAAAAAGCAGATTATTTATGGATGAGAAGTAAAAAAGAGCCGCCAGGTGCTAAAAAATAAACCTTAGACTCAAACGTTAGAACAGCTTTTCCCCGCAGCACGGCGTGTAATAAATACTCACAAAGAAAACGGCGCCGTTACAACTTATGTCTAAAAATGTATCGTTTCATGCATCGGCTAAAACACTCGACTCCAGCTACAGGACGCCCAGCTGGAGACACGTCACGCAAGTCGAGCTGCCCGAGATTCACAGAGTTTACAGAGAATGTTAAATGTTTGTGATTTATATCGTTATCGGACGATAGATGTCTTATAACGGGAGATGAGATTGTGGTCATATCGCACAGCCCTAATGGGAGCACAGACGATGTGAACAAAGACATAACGATATACATACAGTCAGTGGAGCTGAAGTGAAAGAACTCAAAGGTGGAAACAATTTGAGAAGCAGAGGAGGGAAAAGAACAGACACAGGTGGTAAAATGTCAAAGCAGTTACCAAAATAAAACAGGATATAACTAAAAGTACCAAAAGACAGGAAAATACAGCAGATACAGGGAAAGGATGCAGAAGGATCATCCCATTACCCCCAACCAATCACAGCAGATGCCCCGCCCTCCCTGAGCCTGGTTCCGTCACAGGTTTCTTCCTGTTAAAAGGGAGTTTTTCCTTCCCACTGTCACCAAGTGGTTGCTCACAGAGGGTTGTTTGATCGTTAGGTTTTCTCTCTATTATTGCTAAGTCTTACAGTATAAGGCGCCCTGAGGCAACTGTTGTTGTGATTTGGTGCCATGTAAATAAAATAGAAACTGAATTGCTTTGAGATTGAAAAAGTAAACACAAAGAAATAAGAAACAGATCAAAGAAACAGGAACCAAAATGCAACTACTTAAAAGCTTATCACTAGATTTTGGTTTGGCTCAAGCTCTCAAAAACCTCAAAGGCAATGTTTGAAATGTTGGTGATCTGACTTTGTGTCTGTCCAGTTCGGGTCAGGTGACAGGTCTCCAGAGGGGTCCGACCACAGAGAGATGGGAGTACGACAGTCAGGGACGAATCATTTCCAGAGTCTTCGCTGATGGAAAGATGTGGAGTTACACGTATCTGGACAAGGTACAGGCTAACGTCGTGAAAACCACACATGCATACATCACTGTGGAGCTTCAGTGTGAGTGAGTCACTTAAAATGACTCTGTGTGGCTCTGATGTGGATTTAGCCGCTACACGGTATGAGCAGATGGTTCAACAGAGCATGAATTTTTAACACAACTTCCTCAAATGTCAAACTCTTTGGATGCTTACATTATTTCACTTTGCATGCAGACACAAAGTTATTTCTCAAAAACTACCAGGGTCAAAATTATAAGCTAACAGTCAACGTGTATCCTTTTCTGCTAGTAAGCCCAACCTTTGTTTGGGATTCAAGTCGGAGCTTTGTGCCTGCCAGTCAATGATGTTCACTTTGGTCTTCTGCATGCAGTTGCCTACCAGGCACAGCGTATGGTTGCTGGCATTAGGTATTTTCTGTTCTGCAGCAGGTTTCCCTCTAGTGGTTGTTTTTGTGTATTTTTTACTCTGCAAGATCTAGCCAGAGGCAGTTTCACCTCTGTTAATCTGTTGCCATCCACGCCTTCACAAGTTGATAAACGGCATCATCTGTAAGTGATATTGTTTGTTATCACTGAGACGACTAGTGTGCATTATTATTTGTTGTGAAGGCGTGATATAGTTTGTAGTTGGAATTTAATTTGAATGCATGTATAACCTAAGCTAGTAAGGTTAAGCTAGCTCATATGCCATGTGGTTTCTTTAACATTTCGATCATGAGCTGATTTCATTTGATGTTTTATTCGGGCACTCACTAAGCAGATAAATATAGTGTTCTTATATCTTTGAATATGGGTTTGTTATATTTTATACTGGTGCAACATTTTTATTGGTTTATTTCTGGTTTTGTCGACAGTTTCACACTTTTTCCTTATTAAATCATCCAACTCAACACATCGGCCTGTTCCTTGGATTTTGATTAGGAGAGTGTTTAGCTGTCTGTATAGCTGAGTCTACGTTCATGAGGACAACACTTAGTGAGGACAGAACAGTATGTTTTGGGTCATTGTCGTGGTGGAAGACCCAGTTTTCTTTCAAAATCTTCACATCATCTTTCTGTATGATTCTTTCCTCCATGATGAGATTCCAACTTCCAGACACACTGAAGCATCCCCACAGCATAATACTCCCACCACCGTGTTTCACTGTCTTTCTTTCTCCAAACATAAGCAGCATCTCTGCGACCAAAGCGCTCTCGTTTTATCTCGTCTGACCAAAAGACATGCTTCCAGTATTCGTGATGTTTCTCCAGGCTGTCCTCAGCACACTTCAGTTTGGTATTTCTTGGTCTGACTTTAGTCATTAGTCTTCAAAGACACGTCTCACAAGTTTTCTTTCCAGAGTCTTTGAACTCTTTCACTTCCCACTGCCAGGCTTCTTCTATATTTCTGAACTTGCTGAAGTTTTTATTCTGTTTGTAAATTGAAGATAAGTCTCGGTTTTCATTTTACAGGCTTTGAACGTTACAAACACATCAGCTCGCAGCAGTGGTTCGTATTATGTTGTTGTTTCAGGGGGGCCAATAATATCGACCCTGCTCATTTTCTTTTCTTCTGAAATAATTCTGTAATTTTGTGCAAATATTTTATTAGGAGGCCAAACATTGGGTCCTCGGCTGTAATTCATAGTCTGAGTGATAATTTGGTGTTAATAGAACATAGTAGACGTGGACACAGATTTAAAGGGGAGTCATGGTAACTCTACATCCGTAACAGAGTGAATCACACATATTTCACTCTAAATAAATTCATGTAAAATAATGACTGAAGAAAGGAAGGAACACAGAAAATGAACAGAGGATTAAACAGCGTGCCCTTAAAGGTGGAGATGTGTCAGGCAGAAAGTCCAGATGTGAGGAAATGATGGGCTAAAGAATGAAAAACAGCAGTGATGAAACAAAAACAGCCCATGTTGTGCCTTTAAGAGCAAACGAGAGCGGATTGCTTGCAGTGTAAGAGCTGTGTTGGTAAATCAGAAACATTTTGGTTTTATTAGCTTCATCAGAGCCTGAGACACAGCAGCAGCAGGCCTCGTCTGTAGGGGAGTGACAGAGAAGGAAGAAGAAATACTTTGCCGTCACAGGCTCTACTGTGTCAGCGGATGGTTGGAGCTTACATGGAGAGACTGAGCTAGAAAGAAAACAGCAAGTGTGGCTGAAGAGAAACAAGAATCACAGTAAAGCGAGTGCAGCGTGTAAGAGACGAGAGGACGGAATAAGTAACAGCTTTACAAGACTCACTGAAACTGAAGCAAGTAAGCAGGTTAATATTTAGTACGTACTATCACAGTGTAGCAGTCTCAGTGCATTTACAGTATGACATCATTCAACTATTTGGTTTAGAAATTAAATAGTTGATAGATCCTGTTTTAATGTGGTCAGTGGAAGTTTGTGTTTGAGTATTTCTTTGTTTGTGCTGAATCTTACGCCGCTGGGACGTCTGTTTCTGTCCCCTTCAACGATCCCACATTTTAGGGGAAGTTCAAGGAGCAGAGCTGAGTTTATGGGCTGCACCCATGAAAGCTTAGCAAAGCTTCATTGTCAATTATAAATTCTGCTTGTCTTGTTTTTGACTCGTGTGTGCAAAGTTTACATTTGTACACATTCAGTTCAGGTCACTGAAAGTTCTTTCTCAGATGCCTCAGGACATTACAGTAGAAGTCTCCACTCAGAGTGTGTGAGAGCACGAAGCAAGCCGTGAGCTGAAGAAGCGTCTGTAGCCTCCAGGACAGGACCGAAGCAGAGATCTGGGGAAGGGCCCAGTAAACTGTCACCTGCACTAACCACAGATGGAGAAATATCCTTGGGCAAGATACTAACTCCAAGTTGCTCTCTGCTGAATGTGTGTGTGTGGCAGATTCAATTAAATTCAGCATTTAGACAGAAAATACGAAGCAAAAAGTGCTGCTGTGGATGAGGCAAGTTGTGTAAAGTGCTTTGAGTGATCAAATTAAATTTATTTAAAATAAATGGCTGCTCTCTTTAGGGGTCCTGGATATCCTTCTACCCCTGGCATTCAGTGTTTATTGCCATGTGTCACGAGAGAAAAGGTTTTTCTTTGTGCAATGAAATTCTTTCTTTGCTGTCCACCCACAGATGCCGATTAATATATACAATAGAAATAAAACATATAAATACAAGTAGTACAAATAAATAGATGAAGGCAGAAAAGGAGACAAACTATGGAGATTTGAAACAGACGTGTGCAAAAGAGCTACAGCTCAATATGAGCAGACGTGCAAAAAATAATTATTACTGTTCAAAATGGGTCAGCTGTTCAAGAGTCTGATGGCAGTGGGGAAGAAGGAGACAGTGAGTCTGGATGTTCTGGATTTCAAACTTCTAAACCTTCGTCTCGAGGGCAGAAGTGTGTCTCTCCTCTGGACTCTGTGATGGTAGCTGCTCTGCAGAGAGGGCAGCGGGGTCCTGATGATCTTCTCCACAGTTGTTATCACTCTCTGCAGGTGTTGCGCTCCATAGCAGTAGTGCTGCCGTACCATGCAGTGATGCAGCTGGTCAGTGTGCTCTCCACAGTGCAGCTGTAGAACCTGCTGAGGATCTTGGCCGACATACCAAATTTCCTCAGCCTCCTCAGGAAATACAGCCGCTGCTGAGCCTTCTTGACCAGCTGTGTGGTGTTCAGTGTCCAGGTCGAGGTCCTCAGAGATGTAGACGCCCAGGTACCTAAAGCTGCTCACTAGAGGTGGGAATCACCATACATCCCACGATACGATATTATCACAATACTTAACGCACGATACGATATTATTGCAATTTTTTAAATATTTTGCGATATTCAGATTCTGTACATAAAGGTAAACTTTATCAATATTCATTTTATCTAATATCAAAGTCTCGACACTCAGTCTTTCTCTCATTTCAGTCAGTTTATTGTTGACAAACTGAACGGTTTGTATTACAGTCTAGTCCAACTTAACTGAATGCAACCATCTGGTACAATTATAGCTATTCTGAACTATGCAATTTATGAAAACTATGCAGCCCCTTCAGCAACTGAAGAATTTGAAAGTAAATTAAAACAAAATATAATTTTACATTAAATAAAAAAGTTTTAAACTTAATTAAAATAAAACATGTCTTAAATTAAAATAAGTAAACTGTCATGTTTATTGCTGCCAAAAAAAAGTTAAACACATTTGGACAGTGAAGGAATGTCAGGATTCTTGCTCAGAAAAAGGATCAACATGCTCTGAAGTCAGAGCACAAAAACCTTTTTTGTAACAAAATATCGATTTCTGCTGTCCCTGTATCGATACATTATTAGCAAACAAAATATCACGATGCTACACAGTATCGATTTTTTCCCCCACCCCTACTGCTCACCCTCTCCACTTCAAGGCCCCGGATAGACAGCGGCTGGTGAGGCCTCTTCTTCTTCCTTGTGTCCACTTTCACCTCCTTTGTCTTGTCAGTGTTGAGGGTGAGGTTGGTGTCCTCACACCATGACACCAGACCGGCCTCCTCTCTCCTATGAGCCGCCTCGTCCCCTCCAGTGATGAGACCGATCGCTGCAGTGTCGTCCGCGAACTTCAGTATGGTGTTGTCTTTGTTGGAGGCGACACAGTCGTGGGTGTACTGGGTGTAGAGGATGGGGCTGAGGACGCAACCCTGTGGGACGCCAGTGTTTGTAATAATGCTGGCTGAAGTCCTGTTGCTGATCCCGACGGTTTGGGGCCTGGCAGTCAAAAAGTCCTGTAGCCAGTCACAGAGGGTGGGGTGCGGGGCGAGTGTTGCCAGCTTGTGAGTGAGTTTGTGTGGGATGACAGCATTCATCCCTATTGCACCAACCTTCTACATGTCCTCTTTCACTGCATCCATCGATGCGGTCTTCCTCTGTACCTCCAGCTGGCAGCTGTATACATCTTTAGTCCATTGTGTCCATTATTCCCCCCAAACCACTGCCAAAGCATCTCAGTCTTGGCTTCCTCACTTTATCTCCAAGCTGACTGAGGTGGCTGTGGGGATACTCATTTCTAAAATTGTCCAT